TGGGCACGGGTCGGCGAGGTCGGCACAGGGCTGGTTGGGGCCCTAGAGGGGCGAGCGCGGGGACGATCGGGGCCTGAGCGGGGCTAGCGCAGGGCCAAACGGGGCTAGCAAGGGGCCGACGGGGCCTGAACGGGGCTAGCGCGGGGCCGACGGGGCCTGAAACGGGGCTAGCGCGGGCCCGATCGGGGCCTGAATGGGGCTAGCGCGGGGCCGACGGGGCCTGAGAGGGGCTAGCGCGGGGCCGATGGGGCCTGAAACGGGGCTAGCGCGGGCCGACGGGGCCTGAGAGGGGCTAGCGCGGGGCTGACGAGGCCTGAAACGGGGCCAACGGGGCCTGAAACGAGGCTAGCGCGGGCAAACGGCGCTAGCGCGGGCCGACGGGGCCTGAGAGGGGCTAGCGCGGGGCCGACGGGGCCTGAAACGAGGCCGACGGGGCCTGAAACGGGGCTAGCGCGGGCCGACGGGGCCTGAGAGGGGCTAGCGCAAGGCCGACGGGGCCTGAAACGGGGCCGACGGGGCCTGAACGGGGCCTTAAAGGGGCAGACGGGGCCTGAACGGGGCCGCTAGGGAGAGCGGGCGTGGGGCCGACGGGGCCTGAACGGGGCCGCTAGGGAGAGCGGGCGTGGGGCCGACGGGGCCTGAACGGGGCTAGCGCGGGGCCGTCAAGAGGGGCCTCTAGGGGCGTGACACGCGGAGGCGCCCTAGGGCACAGGTAGGTAGGTAGGTAGGTAGTTACGTAGTGATGGGCCCTTAGAAAATTTCGGTCCTAGGAAGGACCTGCTCTATACCATGTTAGAATCACTGAACAGGAATAGATGAACTAGCAGTGAAATGAGTACAAGTACCTAACCCTAGAATTGTGTACCCCCTATAGGCTAACCCACTGTAGCCTAAACTAACACAACATATATAATGTTTGACACGCTGTGACGATCGCCATGGCAACGATGGCAGCCATGACGAACCGTGCCCTAGATATCGGAGTTTGAATCAGAGTCCGTTCAGACTATTTTTTTGTATCTAGTCTGAACTCCAAGAATTTTTTTTATATACCTTGTCTGATTTTCAAGAGTTTTTTCTTATGAGTTGTCTGAAATTTCAGCCTAATTTTACTAGGGTAGGCTGAGCCTCAGACTTGTATCGGGGGTTCACTCTGCGCGTTTATCGGAGGAAAGTTTCCTGGAAGTTTCCTTCCGATATGTCCACTTTCGAGATGGCAGTGGAGTGCCAGGACATGAGCAACGCTCACTTCGACAACTGGGACATCCAAATACACTCGTTCGTCGAGAATATCTTCCAGTTACGCTGAGGAAATGGTTGCGAAATTACGGGATTTATGAAGACAAAATCTCGTCACATGTAAGTTATCGCTTATGTATTGTAAAGAATAGGCGACTTTGATGTTGATTCGTTGTAAAAACATCTGCAGCACGCACTCGCGTGAATTGCGAAGTTCCTCATTCGTACTGAAAGTTTCGTGTGGCACTTGTCTGATCCTCACATGCCACGCCAAGCAACAGTTCTGCCTGCTGCCAGCTCAGCTGCGTGGCACTTGGTCCACCTGATACAGATCGGGTAAACGATCGAATTGCTTGAAAAGCAAATCCAAAACTGACAAAATCGGCATACATGCGAGAAAATGGGTACAGAACGGTAATCACACACGACAAAACGAAATGAGATCGGCAGAGCAGAAACAACCATGCGCTTCACGTGACAAAAACACTGGATTGCCGCCGGCATGAGCAGAGGCGATGCACGAGCACGAGCACGTTGCCTGATGTGTTGGTATGGTAGGCTATAATCAGCCTCAATGCTATTATAACTGCTTTTATGAAACTGCATGAACATCTTAAAATTTGAAGTAACTCTGACGGTTCAGACAAAAAAATTTGTGCTTGTTTGAATTTTCAGACTAAAATTTTGAGGCACCTCTGACAGACAGAGTTCCAGGAGGGGTGTACTCTGAGGCCTCATACTACCTCAAAACGAATCTAGGGGCCTGATGGCGAATGAAAGATAACAAGGTCCTTGGATGGACCCAGCTCTTAATACCATGTCAAAGTAACTATGTAAGCTTAGGAGGCATGACTTAGACTTAGGAGGAACTTGTAGCTAGGAGATGGTATCGAGAGGCTTTGGCAAAGAAATGGTTGCACTAGAAAGAAGGATTCACCACCAGCAGTTGAACCTAATATCTAACTAATACACTAGCAAGCTTTAGGCAATTAAAACAAGATATGCAAATATAATTCAACAATGTTTTACCTGTTGCTGAAAATATTCAGATACGGTATGTTAGTGGGAGAGTGAAAGTTGAACTAGTGAATGAGGGGACAGCCTCTGACCCTGATCCTTCAATCCCAAACCATTTCAAGCTGGCTCAATTCTATTCCCATGCTATGTCAAAAGAGATGGAATTTAAGATCTGCCAAATTAATTAGTGCACTTCACCCACGATCATCTCCATGTTGTGAACTCCTCGCGTTGCATTGCCAATGCGAACTCAGCTGAGCAGCAAAAAGCTGCTCGGCTGGGCTGCATGATCTGCTGTACACAACAGTCAATTGGCCCCACTTGTTGTGATCTGTAAAATATCACTCCAGCAACACAAGGAACCGTTAACTACTATTCGTTCTTCGCTGACAGCACCTCGAAGCACGACACAACCACCAATTGAAGCCAGAAAACAGGTGCAGTGTTGGTTGGTGCAGAAACGTCACACCATGGCTAATGGGTCAGGTTTAGCGCGTGACCTCTGGCGTTGCGCACACGCTGGTAACAAGATCACCCCCCTCAAAAGGACTGCCCTGCCCACACAGTTGTATATACAACCTTAAAAAAGGCTGTGCAGTAATGGCTAGATTGGCCACTGCGGTTGTTATTCATTTTGCAAAAGTTGTACAATTTACAATAGTGTACATCCTTCTCGGTTTTTTTAACTGACCGTCTCAACCTGAAGGCAACTGGTGTTTCGTTTTCCACTGGCCGTCACATGTGTGATATGCGGCCGTGTGGTTAGAGAAGCTGCCTTATCAGGGATGTTCGTGATTGCGTGGCACATGTCAGCTTCCACCCACCACGCGGTCACTGTCGCCTATAACCATTTTACAAATGAGATTTCCCTTGCAATATACAAAATTCCCCCGACGGAAGTGCATCATACATGAGTCTGAATCCCATACTCAGAACCTCAACGGTTGATTGTTGTTTTCTCCGGTGGGGGAGGTCGAGTGACATCCAAGCGCTAGTCGAATTACTGTTGTCAGTTTCTCACATTGCAGCATGCAGTCTAGCTGGTTTGTGCGCACTGCTTTTCCAGGCCTGGAACACGTTCAACATCGTGACACAACTCGAGCCTGGATAGTCATGAACGCAACTAAAAAATGAAGATACTTAATAAGGAGTCTCCCAATATCAATTCGCTACCAGAAGCCTATTTGCCAGCAGCATTCCGTTGTGAACAGAGGTGGAATGGCGATGAAGCAAGCGCCATTTGCTTCGCTGGACAGGAGAGATTTTGAATGGAAGTTGCTTGGGGAGCCTCGTGCCTGGCTCCTGCTTCTTCCTCTGGTGCTCCTTGGTGTTCCTTGTGCTGACCGATTTGTTTTTTGGTGTTCTGTACGTTTTCATCGTCCCACCTGCTGCAGTTTGACGCTGCCTTTGTCAAGTCTCCATCTGCTTAGAAAAAAAAGAGGGAAAAATATCGTAATTTCCTTAAAGCGGCAGTATACATTTGGCAGGGAGAGTGCCAAAAGTTTATAAATGGTACATGGTGGGGGCGAAATTGTGGGGCACACTGTAAAACCCTGAACCCCGCTGTCAAATGTATACTGCCGCCTTCAACTGAAATCTCATTATTTTCCCCCAAAACAAATGTCATTGGGTACAGTAACTTAAGTTTCTCTACCAAGACTGCCAACGCAGCAGGCTGTGATTGTTGTGGATTCTCTCGGTTCGGCTCGCGAGCCAGCTTCCTCTAGGGCGTGTTACATATTGTTTTTTCGTCCGGATAGCCAACCGTTCGGACGGTTGTGTGGTTACGGAACTCGTTGAATCTCAATAGTGAGCTCGTCAGGGTATAAACGACGTCGCATTCGTCGTACTGCCTCCTTACGACATCGTATTGGTCGCAACACGACCGTGCGACGTCGCATTTTCGCACGTGTCTGGACAGCCCTCTGGAATTTCAGCGACTTCAAAAAATGTTCCACGCCCTTAGAAGCACTGGACTGAATTCTCGGATTCCAACTGCTCCCCGCCTCCGCCCTCCCCACCGTCAGACACGTCTCGCATTTCTCCTGCGGCTCCTCCAGTGCATCTGTTTTGTCGGCTCAGCCAGTATGAGGTTGCAAGGCGATTCTCGCCTCAGCAACACGCACGGAATTTGAGCCACCCCTATTCAACACGCCAGCTTGCTGCTTCCCACTCTCGCCCCCCCAGTGAAACTTGCCGCCACTTGCATGTCATTCTTCCAAGAGTCGTCTGCAGCATTTCCTCTCATTGCCAGAAGACAGTGACAGTAGCACCAGCTCCGACGAAGGTGGCTCATTTCCGGCTGCAGCAGTAAATATTATTCATCACTCCCATCCAGCTCCTCCATCCCATCAATCAACTCCATGGCGGCGCACCGCAAGCAGAAGCCACCCTATTTCCGGTTAATACAATGTATCTGAAATCGTCACACGCGAAACGCGCCTGAGCGGCTACGTCCCGGCTAGCTTTCGGTCCAGCAATCACCTTCGGCCAATCCAGTTATTGTTTTCCTCTCTTGAAAGGTCCACGCGGCAAAAGTCGCTCAAAGAACCGCGCAGTCGCGTCAGCGATACTCCTCGGAGCGTTGCTCGTCGTTGAAACGGAGCACAGGCATCCTCACGCTCGCTGCCACCAAGAGAAAGGTCATCATGATGCCATGATGGCCCGTCGTCGATCTCTTCGTCATCGCGCGCACATCCTGTCGCAAGGCCGTATCCGACTCGTAGAACCGGACGAACCGTCGCATGGCTCTTCGGAGCACGACAGGAGCGACGGCGGCGCGCAAGCGCCGCTGCTGCCGCCTCCGTCAACGCCGTTCCCGTACACCAGCACCGGCGACAACGGCACCAACTCGTTCAACGAAACGCGTGTTGGTTCCGGAACAACATCAGGGAACAGCAGCAACAGTCGTGACCGCCATAGCGACGACCGCGAAGACCACGACAATGGCACCGACCACCCGTATCCAAAACCCGATTCCGACGGTGACGGGCCGTCCTCCAATTCCGACCCTGACTCTGGTTCCTCTTCGCCTCTGCGAATCGTCTCCGAAGTCGCGCTGTCGGGAGTTATCGTCGTTCTCGTCGTCGTCATCATCTTCGTTGCCTTCCGTCGGATTCGCTGGCAAATCGCGCGAATCTCCGGCCGCCGCCGCCGTCGCAGCAACCCCGCGAACGGCGACGGGCCGAACGGCGATCCCGGCGCCGCCAACGCCGCTGGCGCCCGATGCCCCACGTGCCGCGGACTGGACAACGAAGCTATCGACACAGTAGGGCACGTGCTAGTTTATGGAAAGAACCCGCTGTGCTTAGGGGGGAGCGCGGAGGGATTGCACCGCGTGGGGAAGGGGAAGGCGGTGCAGGCGGAAGTGGATAGGTGCTCCTGCGGCTCCTCAGTGAATGGGAGGGTGGACGAAGAGGCGGAAGGGGGGAAGGGAGAGTTGGGCGGTGATGCGGAGGAAGGCGCGGAGGATGGCGCGGAAGAGGGTGCGGCGGAGGATGGCGCGGAGGATGGCGCGGAGGATGTCGCAGAGGATGTCGCAGAGGATGTCGCGGAGGATGTCGCAGAGGATGTCGCGGAGGATGTCGCAGAGGATGTCTCGGAGGATGTCGCAGAGGTTGTCGCAGAGGATAACGCAGAGGGTGGCACGGAGGAACGGTTAGACGATGCTGTGGCTGTGGTTGTGAGCGAAGCGGACGAAGGGAAAGGAGAAGAAGTAAGGGACGGAGGGGAAGAAGCAGGTGCCATGGGTGATGGGAAGGAGAGACGGCTTGGCGAGGAAAAAGAGCACAGAGAAGGGAAGGCGGCAGCAGAAGAGGTTGAAGTGAGCATAAGAGAGGAGATGGACGAGGGGACGACAGAGATGCGGAACGAGCGGGAGTTGCGGGAGGAGCGTGAGGAGCGGGAGGAGTGGGAGGTGCGGAGGGAGTGGAAGGAGTGGAAGGAGCGGAAAGAACGGAAGCAGCGGAAGGAGCGGGAGCAAGGGAAAGAAGGGAGGGAGCGGGAGGAGCGGGAGGTGCAGGAGGAAGACGTATGGATCGAGGATCCGGCGCATTCCATCTCTATATCCGTGACGATGGACGCCACGTGGCTCACGGAATGCGCCGTGTGCCTGTGCGAGTACGAGGAGGGCGACGTGCTCAGGTCCCTCGATTCCTGCCACCACATCTTCCACCAGGTATTACTCTCCACCCCCCTTTCCGCCACCACCACCTCCCCCCCCAAACCCCTTTCCGCTGCGTTCCTCGTCCGTCCCATCCCCTCATTCTCCCGTCCCCCCTCCTCCCCCCACTCCTCCTGTTTCCCCCCATTCCCCTAGTTTCTCGTCACTACATTTCTTCTTGCTCATCCTCCATCAACCTGCTCTTATCTCTCCCTTTCTCTCCACCTTCCGCCATGCACCCCGCCCGCTCTGCATCGCCCTCTACCTCCCACCAGACGTGCATAGACGAGTGGCTGCACTCCTGCGGGTCCTGCCCTCTCTGCCGCTTCTCCTTCACCTCTGACCGCCCGCCGCCGCTCCTCGCCTCCACCTCAGCCGGCGCCATCTCTCGCACTGAAACCATGAGCGGCCCGATAACCACCGCAAGGGAGTCTTTCAGCGGGCCGATCAGCAGCAGCATGAGCGGGCCAATCAGTGCCGGCACGTTCAGCGGGCCTATGAGCCGTTCAATCAGCGACTCCCTGAGCGGCCCTTTGAGTGCATCTGGAGCGCCTGTGTCCGGACGTGCAGCCCGGCAAGCGAGTACGGGGCTGGCGGTTGGCGTAGGGGGGCCGGCGGGCGGTGGTGGTGGTGGTGGTGCTCTTTCTGTGGGCGAGCACTCGGAGGAATCGCAGAGCACAGCTGCCTCGTCGTCATATGGGTCCACGGCAACCCTATCTTCCTCCTATGCGTCCAATGGCTCCTGGGCCTCTACTGCTACCTCCTCCTCCGCCTCCGGTTCTTCCTCTGCTGCATGGTTCATGCCCTCTCTTGACCATTCTTCTCATGCGGCTGGCACTGGTTCGCAAGCAGGGATTCCCTCTGCATGGCTAGGCCCGCGCGAGGAGGCATCAGGATCGGTGTCAGCATCGGCAACAGCAAGTGCGGCAGCGCTGGTATCAAGTGGGGGCGATGCAGGAGCAGTGGTGCTGGAAGCAGTTGCAGAGGATGGAGAGGAGGTGTCGTCATCGGCTTATCAGTCGGAGCCTCTTCCGTATACCGCGGTTGTGCACTCACAGGGGCATGACGGAATGCGGAGATCTGCAGATGGCGTGTTGGGATCAACAGCTGCTGGAACGGCAGTAGCAGGAGGAGGAGGAGCAGGGGGAGCAGGAGAAGCAGTGGGAGCAGGAGGGGCAGGAGGAGCAGCGAGAGAGGGAGAGGAGGAGCACACGCACCATGGGCACCACCGATGGGAGCACATGCGTGAAAGCCTGAAAGAGGGCATGAAGTGGTTTTTGATGAGTGACAGGGAGAGGGAGGGATGGGACGATGATGACACAGACTACTATTACTCATGGTGACGCTGTTCTCAAGGTGGTTACAGATGCAGTTACCACTATGCGTGCCACTGGCACAGAGACAGTGAGCCTCCAGTGGGAGGTGGAAGAGATGATTCGTGCTTTTTCTGTTTTGTGGCGCCTCACAATGAGAGCCGCGCCTCGCCATGTTTCCATGCTTTTGGTAGCCTGTTTTCATGGTGTGCTTGCTTGCTTGCTGCCGGTAGGTCTGTCTGTCAGACATGCCTCTGGTGTGCCTTCAGGATGCATGTACCGTAATAATTCAATGCGTAATGGAAGTGCTTTTAGCACTAAACTAAACGACACCAGCTGTATTTGGAGTTGCAGTTTCACTTACACCCATCAAGGGGAGTAGTAATCCCTTTCGATATATACAGTACCGTACTAACCATATCTGTTTCTGAAAGGATATTGTCAGGACAACTTGCTTTAATAACAGTGTGTGCACTAGTGCCGATCATGTATTGTACCATAAATGAATCAGGATATATACCCTGTCACGATTGCAGTCACGCAGTTCATTTCATGGGCTCCCCCTGACCTGAGCCTCCTTCTGCACACACTTGGCCAGATGAATCTACATTTCTGATGTCTCAGAAACAGCGCGTGCAGGAGAAGCGAAGCAGCAGCAGTCCACATAGACACGGAGTCAGTCAGACACCACCTGACCCAAGCCTCGAACACACACCCTGCCAAACGAAACCCTGACGAGTTTCGAAGACTTTGAATGGTATGTGTCTCCAAGAGTGATTAAAAAAAAAAAAAAAAAAACGCAGTGCGAGGAGAAGGAGCAGCAGCGGTCGACATGCTCCTGAACCTCCTGCACACGCGCTCTCTACCAGATAAATCTATCATCGAGGCACCTCACAAGCAGTGAGAAGAGGAGAAGAAGCAGCAGCGGTCCACGGGCGCGTCATCCTCCTGCACACACTCTGCCAGGTGGAACCCTATCTTGGCCAGCCCTACCACATACTTGTCCCTCAGCCTTGCCCCACCCGCAGCGCCAGGGAATGCGAGCAGGAGTTGGCAGATGGGAGGAGGGGCGCGTTTCACTACCCACTGCTGCACTGATGCTAGGTGCGCCCCAGTGAGGGGCAGCTGGACAGCAGGAGACGGGAGGGGCGGATAGGGAGAGGGGGGGAGAAGAGGAGGATCATTTTAGAGAATTCTCATAAGGGGCGTGTTTTACTACCCACCGCTGCACTGATGCCAGGTGCGCCCCGGTGAGAGACAGCTGGGAGAGGGTGGTGGGACAGGAGGAGGCAGGAGGGGCGGAGAGGGAGAGGGGGGGAGAAGAGGAGAAAAACTTTTGAGAAGGGCGCGCTTCACTACCCACTGCTGCACCGATGCTAGGTGCGCCGCGGTGAGAGACAGCTGGCAGGGGAGGGTGGCAGGAAAGTGGGACACGGATGGGAAGAGGGAAGAGAGGGAGGGGAGGAGTGGAGGGAAGGAGAACGGTGTGGTGTCCAAAGGGAATGGAAATGGGAGAGCCAAGTGGAAACCTGATACACGCGATAAGGCAACAGCAGCAGCGACCCAAGGACTGCGACAGGCGACGATGAGTCGCGAGCTCTCTTCTTGGTGCTACTCCCCTTTCGGTAAAACGAGCACTGTTATTCTCGAATTGAGCGCGTGCTTGAACATCCCGTTCTCCTGTGCATCCCGGTACATGAGATGAGCCAAGCTGCATGCGAATACTCTGTACGTAGCTTGAATCAGTGTGGACGTTCCGAGAATGCATGCATTTTGCGAGTATGAACGTGAGGCTACCTTGAGTATATGCATGGGGGATGTGGGCGAGGCAGGGAGGTGGTCCAGGTGTTGCACTGACAGGCCTGGCACCACCTCCTCCATTGCGCCCTCCCATGCCGTGTCCTCCACTCCCTCACTCATCGCAAACACCTGGCTGCACTTGAGAGAGCCGTGCATGCGTGAGGAGCCATGCATGCATGCATGCATGCATGCACAGGGACAAGAATAAGCACAAACGCGAGCACACGAATGCATGGCCAGAGAGGAAAACAACAAAACAGGAGCGGGGTCGGTCGGAAGACGGGGCACACAGAGGGCTTGCGTGTTAGGAGACGAAAGGCACGCGCACCTCCGACCTGAATCCCGCTCCTCGCTCCTTGCCCCTCTCCCCTACCCCCAGCCTCTCGCCCCTTGCTCCTCGCTCCTCGCCCCTCTCCCCTACCCCCACCTCTCGCCCCTTGCTCCTCGCTCCTTGCCCCTCTCCCCTACCCCCAGCCTCTCGCCCCTTGCTCCTCGCTCCTCGCCCCTCTCCCCTACCCCCAGCCTCTCGCCCCTTGCTCCTCGCTCCTCGCCCCTCTCCCCTACCCCCAGCCTCTCGCCCCTTGCTCCTCGCTCCTCGCCCCTCTCCCCTACCCCCAGCCTCTCGCCCCTTGCTCCTCGCTCCTCGCCCCTCTCCCCTACCCCCAGCCTCTCGCCCCTTGCTCCTCGCTCCTCGCCCCTCGCCCCTCGCCTCTTGCTTCTTGCCTCTCGTCCCTCGCCCCTCACCCCTCACCTGGCGTTGCTGAGGGGTTGCAGGGCGGTGGGGAAGGAGCGGCCGTGGTCGCCCAGCTTGACCATGGGGCCCAGGCTCATGCGCACACACACCGCCTCCGCTGCTGGCCCCTGCCATGCCTCCGCCACTCGGGTCATCTGCAATGACAGGGGGGAAGCAGGACGGGAGAAGACTCGGAATAAGGAGCGAGGAGATGCGAAACTTGGAGCGGAAACGGGTAGGAGAGACAGATGCAGATGTGGGATGACAAAGCGGCAATAGGGGGACCGGGGGGGAGGGGTGTCGGAGGAGGAAGAGGAGGAGGAGGGGGAGGAGGAGGAGGAGGAGGAGGAGGAGGAGGAGGAGGAGGAGGAGGAGGAGGAGGAGGAGGAGGAGGAGGAGGAGGAGGAGGAGGAGGAGGAGGAGACAGCAATGCACCTTGGCGAAGCTCCTGGCACACTCCTTGACGGCCATGATGGCACGGCGCATGGCGCCCAGCTTCTTCTAGGCGTGCTATGAGTGGACTCAAAACACATGAGAGAGTGAGAGAGGGTGAGAAAGAGTGAGCGAGAGAGCGCACCTTGGCAAAGCTCCTAGTGCATTCCTTCACGTCCTCTTGTACGGCCATGATGGCGCGGCGCATGGTGCCCAGCTTCTCACCCGCCGTCTGGTCAAACACGGCCGTCCAGTTGCTGCCCCACGGCTTGCGCTCATTGCACAGGTCGATGCCTCGCCCGTACAACCGCTGGTTGCGCAGCGGCCGCCCGATGTGTGACATGGGCGCAAAGTAATGCAGCCGGTGGACAGACTGGGGGGGTGGGGGAGGAAGGGGGAAGGGGGGGGAAGAGGGCGGGGAAGGAGGAGATCTGAAGGGTTTAAAGGTGTAACGGAGGGGCGATGTGTGGCATGGGCGCGAAGTACTGCAGCCGGTGCGTGGCCTGCGCGGGAAGGGGAGCGCAGGGTGGGAGAGGGAGGAGGGGGGGGGCGGGGAGAGGAAGGGGACATAGGGAGAGAGGGGAGGGTGAAAGGATGGGGAGGGGAGGGGAACGAATGGGGTATGGGGACGGGGTAGGAGGGAGGCGGAAAGAAATGCCGTAGGGAGGAGGAGGTTGGAATGGGCAAGGTGTAACAAGGGCGAAGAATGGCTTTTGGGTGACGGGATGCACAGCTGGCACTTCAAACCGTTGAGTGGGCTTCTATTCAACAAGCGGGTCTAGTCTAGTTTAGAGGCGCGGGCACAGTCATGCACGCTCCTGCGCGCTCACTCACCGCCGTCCTTGTTCACCGACGGATGCGCTGATTGACTGACCTCGTAGCCAGTGTGTGAGGGCACGCAGGGCCGGCACTTGGCGCCGTTGAGTGGCGCGGAGGAGGAGAGGGCAGCGACGGGCATCATGCTGTGCGGATACACGCGGCGGCTCATCACACAGAAGGGCAGGTCCGCCCGCCCCAGGGACACGTTCGCCACTTCCAGCTGCGCCTTGAACCCGCTCTCCGAATTGAGGTTCCTGGTGAGATGGGAAAAACATTAGAGAAGATGAGGGGTACGTACGTACATTGGTACAAGTTGCGGCAGGACCGCCAACCCGCCCCAGGGACACGTTTGCCACAGCCAATTGCAGCTGCGCCTTGAACCCGCTCTCTGAGTTGAGGTTCCTGGCGGGCGATGGGGGGAAACACCGGTGCGGTGCGGACAGACGGATCAAGGATACATGGGTACAAGTGGCAGGACCGCCCGCCCCAGGGACACATTCGCTACTTGCAGCTGCGCCTTACACCCGCTCTCTGAATTGGGGTTCCTGATGGGAGTTGGGGCCACGCCGTTGGTGGGGAAAGAGTGGCGCATGGATTGGGTGAGTGGATGGTTGATGGGCGGGTTGTGGGAGGGGTGGGCGGAGGGTTGTGGGAGGGTTGTGGGAGGGTTGTGAGAGGGTTGTGGGAGGGTTGTGGGAGGGTTGTGAGAGGGTTGTGAGAGGGTTGTGGGAGGGTTGTGGGAGGGTTGTGGGAGGGTTGTGGGAGGGTTGTGAGAGGGTTGTGGGAGGGTTGTGGGAGGGTTGTGAGAGGGTTGTGGGAGGGTTGTGGGGGGGTTGTGGGAGGGTTGTGGGAGGGTTGTGGGAGGGTTGTGAGAGGGTTGTGGGAGGGTTGTGGGAGGGTTGTGGGAGGGTTGTGAGAGGGTTGTGGGAGGGTTGTGGGAGGGTTGTGAGAGGGTTGTGGGAGGGTTGTGGGAGGGTTGTGAGAGGGTTGTGGGAGGGTTGTGGGGGGGTTGTGGGAGGGTTGTGGGAGGGTTGTGGGAGGGTTGTGAGAGGGTTGTGGGAGGGTTGTGGGAGGGTTGTGGGAGGGTTGTGAGAGGGTTGTGGGAGGGTTGTGGGAGGGTTGTGAGAGGGTTGTGGGAGGGTTGGGCGGAGGGAGAAGCGGTTAAGATGTAGAGAGGGTGAAGCTGGAGAGAACCTGGCAAGGTAAGGCTGGTAGAAAGTTGCACATGTGGTTCTCCCTCTCCCCCTCACACTCCCTCGCTCCATCCCCTCCTCCATCCCACCCCCTCTACCTCTCTCCCACCTTTCCTCCTCATCCTTACCCCCCCACCCCTCTCCTGTCCCGTTCCCTCCCTTTCCCCTCCCCTTTCCCCTCCTCTTCTTCCCCCCGCTGCACGGAGCGCACCTGTACCCGCGCCGGCCGAGGTCATGCAGCATGCTGAGGCGGTGCAGAGCAGGCGCGGAGGTCTCCCACGTGCCGGCACCAAAGCGGTCATTGAGCCCCATGCAGTCCGTGCCCCAGGGGATCGTGTACTTGTCCACCTCAAAGCCCCTCAGCACGGGTGGAGGCTTCGCCCAAAACGTGTCCACGCGTGACCGAACCACCCAGTCAAACCGCATTGCATGCCTCGTTTCATACGCGCGGATGAGCGGCACGCAGCCCTCGACGAGGCGCAGGTACTGCAGCATGCCCTGGTCCCCCTGCGGGGAGTACTGATCGTGCAGCACCGTCCCCCCACCGTACTCCGTGCCGTTCACCCACGTGCTTGCGAACACTCGCACGCCCGCCAGCCACTTCTTCTTGGCCCATACGGCGCTCCAGAGCTTGAAGGCGTTTTCGTCGAGGGGCGAGTGGAGGAAGAGGGAGGGCGAGGGGAGTGCGGGGAGGAGGCGCGTGAGGATGGACGGCCAGGTGAGCTCGAAGTCGCGCGCGCCGCCCACCAGGCAGAGCGCCGTGCGCCACTTGCCGGGAGGCTTTGAGAGCACCTGCCGCGGATGGGGGTTGCGGGTGGGAAGTGGTGGGGAAGGAAGGTTTAGCGTGGGGAGGGGTGGGGAGGGAGGGGGAGGAGAGGGGTGGTGGGGGTGAGAGAGGGCGAGAGAGAAAGAGAGAGAGAGAGAGTACGGAGGGAGCATGGATGAGGCAGCACAGGAGCAACGCAGCTCACCTGTTGCCGTGCTGCTTGGTCACCAGCCCACACTGGACGCGCCTCTTGCTCCCGCTCCTCCCCCTCCCGCTCCTCCCCCTCCCGCTCCTCCCCCTCCCGCTCCTCCCCCTCCCGCTCCTCCCCCTCCCGCTCCTCCCCTTCCCGCTCCTCCCCTTCCCGCTCCTCCCCTTCCCGCTCCTCATTCCCACTCTGATTCTTCGCCCCTCCCCTCTTCTTGCCTACCACCCCTCGGCCCTTCGATGCTTCGGACTCCTTCTCCCTTTCTCCCCTCTCTCCTTCTCCTCCCCTCTCTTCCTCTCCTCTTCTCACTCCCTCTCCTCCCGACTCTGCCTCGCTCTCGTTCTCGTCTCGTCCCCCGCCCTCGCCTGTAACATGACCTCCCACGAGCCCCTTGGTTTCCAACCTTGAAGCCACCTCTTTCACCCTCGCGTCTGTCGCGCCTCTCTTGTTGTTGTTACTGCTGCTGCCGCTGCTGGTACCGTTGTCACGGCTGCCATTACCGTTACCGTGGCTGCTCCTGCGGACGCCTAGTAGAATTAGCAAGTCCACTTCCTGTCGTCGCATACGGGGGTCGGAGAGCCAAGCAGAGAGGAAAAAGGGATGGATAGAAAGATGAAAGAAAGAAGAAACATCAACTGCGGAAAATTAGAGGGAAATGTTACTACCGAGTATGACGACAGATGGAGGCCAGAGAGACAGACGTGAAGCTGCCAGTAACGAGGACCATTGGCACGAGGGGCTGGAGTCTGCTGCAACTTTCCATTGTCGCGTAGCGCACCTCATTGTCGCGCAGCGCACCTGATTGTTGCGGTTCGCGAGGAAGGGCACGAGGAGGAGAGCTGTGGCGAGGAGCGCGAGTAAGAGCAGCACGTATAGGGGACACCAAGACGATCGTCGACGGCACGCGGCTTGCGCCATACCTTCCCCGCGCCGGCCGCTCCAGCATCCCGCGACCACACCAGCTGCCGGCGCGCATACGAACGCTCAGAGCCACGTGGCAGCTGATACCGCGCCAAAGAAACAAGCAATGTTGGACGTATGTCACGCTCGAGACCGATCTGTCATGTACACGGCAGACGTGGACTTTATTGATGTGTCACTGAAGGTAAGCTGTCCTATTCTGCCTGGTCCACATTACGCTGACGCAGATTCTCGTGTTTCTAGACCAGAAGATGCTTTGAGATGGCTGCTGAAATCGCCGCTTTGATTGAACTCGAATGGGAGGCAGGGAGGAACATCTGGTGACGGTTAGTTCTGCCTGCAAAATCAAACCTACCAAGTCAGGGCATTCCTAACTTCGTTTAACCCGCAATTGGTGTCATCCGAAATTGTGGGATCCGATCGCAAAACCCAAATCTCGAATCAGAAAATTTAGGATTGGATCCCACAATTTAGGATGACGTTAACAGCGGATGACACGAAGTTAGTAATCCGCCCTCAGAATCCTCATTTGGTGGTTGGTAGAGCTGGACCCACATCGTTGGGGAGTGGGTAACAAGTTCGTTCATCTCGTTAAAGATATTCGCCTCAACTGTAGGGGTCGGTTCCTGCCTACCATCATCCATGATTGAATAGGTTTCGTGTTACAGGTGCAATTGAACGAGCTAAAGAAGATTTCACTAAAAGAGTCAAACGAGTACTAGTATCTGAGCTAAGGTTATGAGTGCAATTGAGTGAGCGAACGAGAATTGCATTATCGAAGCAAAAGTACAATGAGAGAAGGCATGAGCGAAGAATATATAGCGAAAGCTACAGTGGTAACGGTAACGAACTGTGATTGACGCGCGACGGGCTTGGAACTGAGGTAGGGACTCTGGTTGGGAAATGTCGAGGCGGAGGCCCAGAACGCGGGTTACCCGCCGAGCCGTGAGGTCGGGATGCGACGTGCGAAGGTGGCGGGAGGATTGTCGATTCGAGGGTTGCGAGTGGTAACGGTGTTGACTGTGGTGCTACCGTGGTGTACGCGCTGAGTAGGGGTGCGAAGTAAGTAAAGGAATTTTCCTTACACTACCCCCCCCCCCCCCCTCCCCCAAAGGAGGCCCTCCTAACGAAAGTGCATGTATATCCCGGAAATTTCGGCTGCGCAAGTACTCTGTGAGGACAGGGTGGTTTTCGATTCAGTCCTGGGGAACCCAGTTGTCTTCGGTGGGTGTTCGTGTCAGATTTATATGACATAGCTACTGTAGGCTGTAGTGGGGTAGCACATATGGGGTACAGCTTTCTAGGGTTTGTACTTGTACCCAGCTTTCCCTTAGTCAATTCATTCTCGTTTCAGTTTTCTCATGGTATCGAGCAGGTTCCCTCGTGGGAACTGTTCCTAGGGCCCACCGATTCGATTTTTTTTTCCTGCCCGGAGCGCGCTCAGCCCTTGCCCGAGTCACGCTCCCCCTTTTCTCACTATGTCGCGCCGCCCTAGCGGCTGTGTCGCACCGCCCTTGACGGCCCCGATCCGCCGCCCTAGCGGTTCCGTCACCTACCCCGCGACCCTCGAGCCGCCCTTCTCGGCCCCAATTCGCCGCCCTTTCGGCCCCGTCGCCTACCCCGCGGCCCTCGCGCCGCCCTTCCCGACCCGGCCCCACCCTTGCTGGCCCCGTCACCTACCTGCGGCCCCGATGCCTACCTGCGGCCCCGTCGCCTACATGCGGCCCCGTCGCCTACCTGCGGCCCCGTCGCCTCCTTGCGGCCCCGGCGCTGCCCTTCCCGGCCCCGACGCCGCCCTTCGCGACCCGGCCCCGCCTCTGCTGGCCCCGTCGCCTAGCCCTGCGGCCCCGACGCTGCCCTTCCCAGCTCCAGCGCCGCCCTGTCTCGGCCCCGACGCCGCCCTTCCCAACTTGGCCCAGCCTCTGCTGGCCCCGTCGCCTACCTTGCGGCCCCGGCGCTGCTACTTCCCGGCCCCAGCCAAGCCCCTGCTGGCCCCGTCGCACGCCCTTCCCGGCCCCGACCCCGCCTTCACGCGGCCCCGCGAAGCTACTGCCGAGCCGCCAGCGCCACCCGAGCCGCCCGAGCCGCCGCGCCACCTGAGCCGCCCGAGCCGCCGTCCCACCGAGCCGCCTGAGCCGCCCGAGCCGCCCGAGCCGCCGTCCCGCCGAGCCGCCCGAGCCACCTGAGCCGCCCGAGCCGCCCGAGCCGCCCGAGCCGCCCGAGCTGCAGAGTAGCCGAGCCGCCGAGCTGCAGTTCCTGCCGAGCCGCCGAGCTGCAGTTCCTGCCGAGCTGCCGAGCCGCCGAGCCGCCCGAGCCGCCCTGTCCGGTAAGAGCAGCGCCTCTGTCACTGCACTGCCCTTACCCCACTGTTCGCGCTACTAGTCTACTGCTGTCATGGCTACCCCTAGTGTCCTCGCTTTTGACGCTGAGGGTCGGGCCATTGACTTTGATGTCTGGGTAGATGACCTGTAGCTTTTCCTACAGTGCGATAGGGCTTACGGTCTCTCCCTCTTTGACCTCACCTCTGGTGCCTCTCCTGCCCCTGCTGCTGATGCTGACGCCACTGTTCGCTCACATTGGGCCACACGCGATGCTGCTGCACGTCTTGCTGTGCGTCGCCACTTGCCTACCTCTGAGCGTGCGCACTTTAGCCAGTACAAGAGTGCTCAGACCTTGTACGACGCTGTAGTTGCACGCTACTCCTCCCCTGCCACTGCTGCACTGAGCTGCCTCATGCTACCGTACCTCTTCCCTGACCTTGCTGCCTTTCCCACAGTCGCTGACCTCATTACGCACCTCCGCACTAGTGACACTCGCTACCGCGCTGCGCTTCCTGCTGAGTTCTGCGCCAAGAACCCCCCCCCCATGTACATCACTCTCTACTACATAGTCACCCGCCTCCCTGACTCCCTTCGCGTAGTCAGGGACCACTTCCTCTCAGTTTGCCCCACCACCCTCACCGTTGACCTCCTCGAGAAGATCCTCCTAGCAGTGGAGAAGAGCATAGTCGCTGTAGGAGCCCCTCGTGGTGACCCTCGCACCCCCATCTTTGAGGGGTGTTTCCCCTCCCCCTTTTGCCTTCTGTTGCCTCTGCTGCTGCGGCCGACCTCGTTGGGCTTGAGTCGGTCGGTGCGGCGTCTACCCCTAGCGGGAGACGCCGCCCTGGCGAGGGCAAGGGGGGCAGGGGCGCTAGAGGAGCTAGCGGGGGCGGTGGAGGCGGCGGTGGAGGCGGCGGAGGGAGTGGGGGTGGCGGTGGGAGTGGTGGCGGGGGTGGAGGTGTCGGTGCGGCAGTGGAGGCGGAGGCGGCGGCGGTGGCAGTGGGAGCGGAGGTGGTGGCGGAGGTGGCGACGGTGGAGGAGGCGGTGGCGGAGGAAGTGGAGCTGGTCGGAGTGGCGCTGCGCAGAGGGTCAGCTCCGGTGGTGGTCAGCGCCAGCAGCAGCAGCAGCAGCAGCGCACTCGTGACATCCCCTCCCCTCAGCAGCTCCATGAATGGTACGCTGCACGCCAGCGGGGTGGTGGTACTGGTCCGTGCACCTACGTCCTACGCACCAGCGACCGCGCGGGTGAGCAGTGTTGGGGTGCGCACTCCACCCAGCTCTGCTTTGGCCGCCTGACAGACGCGTGGCGTCGCCTGTTCCCGGAGGCCACGGAGATCCCCCACTGGGGTGAGCTGTCTAGGGCGGGAGTAGCTATCTTTGACCTTGACTTTGATGCTATTCTTGCTGCCATGTATGCTGTGACTATTAGTGATGATGGTGACTGTTACCTGTGTCTCCCGCCCGACCCGGGCATTGAGACTGCTGCTCTTGGTACTGGTGAGGCTGCTGCTCTAGGTGCTAGCGAGGGTGCTGCTCTAGGTGCTAGTGCGTCTGCTTCCTCAGGTACTGGTGAGTCCGCTCTCTCAGGTACTAAGTCGGCTTCAGCCTCCCTCACCTTCACCCTTGACTCGGGGGCTTCTCACTCCTTTCGAGACCGCACCACACTCACGCCGCTTGGTCGGCCAATTGCAGTCTCTCTGGCAGACCCCTCTGGGGGTCCTGTCCTTGCTCACTTCTCCACTGTCCTCCCGTGTGTGGCAGCTCCCTCTAGCACCCTGTCTGGTCTTTACCTCCCCGCGTTCTCTGCGAACTTGGTGAGTGGTGCTGACCTACAGGATGGGGGAGTTCACCAGTTCACTCCTGCGAGCCAGCGGGTGACCCACTGCACGGACGCTCGGACGGGCCGACACTTGGCCACGTTTATTCGTCGGCCGGGGTCGAGCTTGTACACACTGACCACTGCATCTCCTCCTGTCCCTGCATCTGGTCAGGTAGCTGCGTCGGGTCAGGTGTTTGCTGCAGCGTCTAAGTCTGGTCCTGAGTGTGCCCCCTGCTCGTGTCGCCTCCTGTCTCACGAGACTCTCCTCTGGCACCACCGCCTTGGTCACCCCTTCCTGCTTCGTCTCCGAGGCATGGCCTCCCGTGTCCTTGTCTCTGGTCTTCCCCGGTCCCTCCCTCCCTTTCCTCTAGGGCCTGGCCCTACCTGCGTCCCCTGTGTCGAGGGGCGGCAGCGGGCTGCCCCTCACTCCTCCTAGTTTCCTCCGACAGAGGCCCCGCTGCAGACGCTTCACATGGACGTGTGGGGCCCCGCCCGCGTCCGTGGACTGGGTCACGAGCGCTACTTCCTGCTGGTGGTTGACAACTACTCGCGTTACACCACAGTCTTCCCCTTGCGCAGCAAGGGTGATGTCACTGAGGTGTTGATCGACTGGATCCGCGCAGCTCGTCTCCAGCTCAGGCAGAGCTTCGGCTCGGACTTTCCTGTTCTACGTCTGCACTCTGACAGAGGCAGAGAGTTCTCCTCTGGCCTTCTGCGAGCCTACTGTCGTGCACGAGGCATCCGTCAGACCTTCACGCTTCCGGACTCTCCACAGCAAAATGGGATTGCAGAGCGCCGCATTGGCATGGTCATGGACGTCGCCCGTACGTCCATGATGCATGCGGCTGCCCCCCATTTTCTGTGGCCGTTTGCGGTTCGGTACGCGGCGCATCAGATCAACCTTCACCCCAGGGTCTC